CAGAGCAGGTCTGCTACCACTAAAATCTAATTCGTGCGCAATCCATCGTCCTTGCGTCAACTTTTTGTGGTGCTCAATGTCCGGTACCGCATGTGTCCTCTTGTCTGGACATACGCGCTGGTGTAACTTTGTAAATGCGCGCGAAATGGCAGGACGCCGACAACTCTCAGTTTCACAACTGAGGCATTCAGTCAGCTATCTGTTCGTCAAGTAGAACCCACGCTAATTACTGACAAAAAATGAGCTAAAACATTCTCTTTCTGTGATATCGTTCTTAAGCCTTGTATCAATACTTTCGGTCGGAGGAATTCTGCAGAAGAGAGACAAACGGCTTGGTTTTAACGAAAGTTGGCTTGAATAGACGACTAGCGCTCTCCCCACCTAAATAGCTTTCTAGTGTAACGCCAGGGAAAGGCAGCCGTTTTTAAAGGGAGCAAGGAGCTCATACGACATCACCTCGAAAAAACTCTGTGGAAGATGATGAACCTCAAGTGTGCTAGAGGGGTGGCCCTGTTCACGGATGGCTGAAACTGCCCACTCTGCCGGCTTGAGCAGGTTAGACAAGTGGATGTCTACGCTGTCTGGTCCGGGGATAAACAAATTTCTAACAATACCTTACTCATATTTTCGAAGTGATCAGCCAACATGCTGCTGATGATAGCCCTCAGAGTGGTTCGGAAGTTAGGCATAAATATCGCTGTATTTTAGGTCCGTTTGCTAGGAAAAGAGTGTGATACGTAAAAGTCTAAACCAAGTCGGCAGCCAATTAGCGGACGGATTTGTAAACCGTGGTTCAAACGCAGTTTTTAACAAACGATTAACTCAGCAAACGAACAAGGCCAGTCATTATCTGCAGTCACGTGCGGTGATAAAGTGTGACGGGCAATCACACGAAGCCACTCGGTTGCTCCTGAAAGCCTGGAGTGATGAGGACGCCGCATCATTTAAATCCTTCAGCAGGCGTTGAATTCACAGCGAGTTAATGGTCAACAGAGTCATAATGGTGAGTGAAGACCGCTAAATGGCCTATCCATCAGCCGGCTTAAGAGCGGCCGAGAGATAGAATGTAAATCGAATCTCGAAGGTGGTTTTTAGTCTCTAAGTCGGATTAGCTCAGATTTGATCGTTGATAATGACAGGCCTGAATTTGGAAGGATACGTTGTTCAGTGGGACTACCCAGAGACCCAAGAAGTGTGGTTTCGTACTAGTCCCGATCGACATTCCGAAGGATACGGTACGTAAGCGTGAGATCGTGCGTAACTGGCATGGCTATCTGCACTTCGGCACTTTGAAAATGTTGACCTATATCATGTTTGCGTCAGTCTATGATTCTTGTGTGCGGTTGTAGTAAGCGGTAATCTACGCAGTTCTTATCACAACAGTTAGTTTACCAGAGACACTATTTCGGATCATTGTTTCCGGTGCCAACGACGAACGGATTCCCGAGTTCAAGGGACACGTGAAAGCCCTGAAGGTTAATTAGAAAAAGGATGTTTACGAAAAAATTCAGCTTCGATATTCACTCGTTAAATATCAATAAAGGGATCAAAGCAAACCCTAATCGGGCGGTAGATATGCTGGTATTAAAGGTAGCGTCGTTCTTGGTCGTTTAGTTTTAATTAGTCCCGTATGGGTAGAAAAATTAAGTTATTCTCGTTGACGAACGCTAACTGGACTCATCTCTCACGCTCTGCCTTGGGCCCCGCCAGAGGCCCTGACAGCTGTAACAGCTGGCAGTACAGGCAGATAGTATTACCGGTAAAGAAAAGGGAAACTTCAATGGCCATTTCTGGCTTAGTAGCCGTCCTCAGCCAATTATACCCAACCCTGACGTAGTACTCCACTGGAGCCCCGAACTCGCGACCTTTTGATCAGGGTCAAACGTCCTAACCATTAAGCTATGAGCTCGTTTTCTAGCCGGTTTAGATCGGGGGAAGTTGGAAGTCGTTGGCGAACTTTCACCTGACCGCTGACAGGACTCATCTGTTCCGCACTGCCATCTGGGTCTCGGTATGACTGGCTGACGACGGCTAATAAGCCAGAAATGGTCATTCCAGTCTCCCTTGTCTTTGCCGGCAATAAAATCTGCCTAGACTAAGTTACGTTTACTACTAGAGGAGAAGGCTATCGCCGCCTTCACAAGCAATTTTAATACTTTAACTGTATATTACCTTGCAGGGTGGTGTGTTATGAGGTCGGGCTTGACTGCAAATCCGTGGTATTCCTGTTCCTAGCCTTTGAATCCCATCATAGCGATACGTTTTATGGATTTGAGATGGGTGTATTTACCTTTTTGCCGTTGATTTGTAATCATCTGCAAACACCTGTCTTACAGCAGGAGTCCGAGTAGAAAACTCCATGATGGGAAAAGCCATTAGTAGTGATATCTGCAAACTACGACCTCAACGCTGGACCGTGGATGGGTCGGAGTCGTTAATATGCCCTCGTCTCCGTCCCCAAGCACACGAAAGTAGACAAACTTCTCCGCACAATGCAGGTGACCTCGCGTTAAATTATCGGAAAGGTCGATGTCCCCGTATCCTAACACTAATTTTAATCGAAGCCCTAACTGTAGGCCTAATCACAACTCTAATTGCCCTGGAATTTAGGGCGGAGGCGCCTGTATTACAGATACTTCCTGTCTCCGTGTCCTGGCCAGATAACCATACAAGCGTTTCACATTCCTGTGTCTTTCTGCTCCCTACTATCGACAGTTCCACGACCGACCAAGCGTTATGTAGATTCAGTCATCTCGGCGGCAGGCCCCCTTGCAGTTCAAATCTCTGGCAGAACTTGCGTGTTCCGGCGCACCTCAGCACGACAGTTAGTAGTTAGACGGACAGTTGAGAACGTCTATTCATTCTTTAGTTTGCGATTTCTAAGAGCCACTTTTTTGTTACTTCTGAAAAATGTAGAAAGATTTCCCTAAAGCATACTCGTATACTGGGATCTCTTAGCAGTGAAACCGATCCACAACGGGATCCTATTAAAAAACAGGGGCCAGAAGGCGATACTCGACTGAAGCGTAGAACTAGACTAAAATATATTGAACTGTTGTCGTGGTTGTACGTTCACTGGAGTTGACGTGCGACTAACGAGTGGACAAGGAAAACAGCAAGAGTGATTTACTCGACCGAGTAAAGCATCGATATGATACCCCGCCTACATTTTCAACCGTTACCATTAAGTCTATTGAAATGTAAGAAGAAAGAAAACCGGCAGGGTTCTATTTCAGTAGAAACAAAAGATTGCCCTAAGAAGTAACCACATGAGGGATAGTGAAAGGGCCTTCCCTATTCATATGTACACACATGCTTCCAAATATATCGTGGCTTGAAGTTTGATACTCTCTGTGGAAAAAAATGAGAAACAAATAAAGTGCAAAGTGAACTTCACGGTGGTGCTTCAGAAACAAAAGAGGTGAGAAAGGAAAACCAAAGTACATTCATCCCCTCTTGCTGCCGCCAGAGGCAGCATTTTTGAGCAAGATCTGAGACCAGTGGCAAAGTTAGCGGACAAGTTTGGAGGGGGGCAGGCATTTCAGGTGATTCTATTATGAATAGGGATACCGGTAGAGGTGTTGATCAGGACCACCGAACTCCGTGCAGTTGGGGGAAAGTTAGTGGACTGTGGGTAATCCTGGCCAGGCGTCATGCCGTTCACAACGGAGGACCCCAGTGGCATTCGGGCCAATGAGGTACTGCCTGGCAGGGTGGGTTGTTGCATTGAGGGTGGCGGGGGAATGTAGGTAGGATACTGGGAGGGCGGCAGGGAGAAGGGCATCTGGGTGAATGCCCCACCCGGACCGCGAGGTAGAGTGCCACTCAGGAGGATGGGATAGCCCTGCATGTTCAAGTGGTTACCGAGTTGATAGAGGAAGGGTTGGTTCTGCCCTCCGGTCAGGCCGTCGCTCGGCGTCTCGTACATGATCTGGTTTGGCTCATTGTAAACGGTCTCGTAGGCGCCTTGGCCGTTAGCCGTAGCAGAGGAGACGGTAGAGTGAGAATTGTAGGTTCCTGAGTCATGTTGTTTGGCAAGTGTTGTTGTCGTCATCGTGGGCTGTTGCGGTTGCTGCTGCTGTTGCTGACCCTGTTGATTCTTGCACGTCTGCTCATCTTGACTAATACTAGTATAGGCGCCCCTCCTCAGAGGCGATTGGTTGGTCGGCGGTAGAGCCGTACAGGTACTCGTCTGACCCGCCTGCTCCGAAAAGTCGAAAAATGCAGAGGCCTTGGTTGGCTGCTCTATCGGTGGATGAGCGAATCGGAGCAGAGAGGAAGCCATGCCGGAGGAGGAGGTACCTCCAGGCGAATGTTTGGAGGCTTCCTGGGCTGTCATTCCAGTAAGCATCATGTGTCCTCGACACTTGGATTTGTGATAGC